ACGAATTCGTGCACCGGTGGGGGCCCTCGGCCTGGCCTGTGGGGATTGGGCCAAAACTGGCAGTCCAACATCCCCCGAGTGGTCCCGGATTGCAAGAGGGCACACTCTAGTTCATAGGTCAGTGCTCAACCACTAAGCCACACTGGCTGGGCTGAATGATTTTCTTTTGAAGGCTCATGATGGTCTTAGCATCTCATAAGATTTTTTTCTCCTAAAAAAATAACCCAACATTTCTTACTAAATGTTATAAATATATTCTAACAAAATATATTACAAAAGAATATTTAACATTAACTAAATAAAATACTTAAGCAAACATGCCTGAAAAGAATCTTTTAGAACTATAGTGACCTTTTATTTTAAGCTTACCTATTTTCATTGAAATTTCCAGTGTACTTTGCCCCAGATGGGAATATATAAGTCCCCAGTCCATGAAACATATTGTCCTTAAAGTATCCTTCATAGACTGCTCCTGAAAAATGTTCAAGTCTTCCAAAACCGTTCATCTGTTTGTAACAAAGGAAATAACTCAGTAGCTAACCTTCAGTTTCCCTAGAATACTTTGAAAATGTACATATATGTCTATCATCCATTATTATTTAATCTATCATTATATTACCCTTTATTTCTGTGAGGCCCCTCCTCCCCCCATCTCACCACCAAGTCAAATGTTCCTGGTCTGGGACATTTGAACATCATGGTTGGAACACCATGATGATGATAATAGGGGTCCTTCAAATACCTTGAGTTATCAAAAATCTTAAAGGGCAACTGGTTTAGTTACCTAGGAAACAGTACAAAAGTTGTGAAGAACAAAAATTATATTCAAGCAGACTTCGGTACACATTCTTGTTTCATCACTTATTAGGTATAAGAAATCTGAACTTGATTTATCTCATTTGTAAAGTAGGAGTGCTAATGATTGCTTTGAGGATTAAATGAGAAAATTTTGTAATGAGTTTAGTTTTACTCAATGAATAGAAGATGAGAAAGATGATAACTAGCTCTCTGCATAAGTTTAATATTACTCATATATTCATATATATTAAATACTAGAGGCCCAGTACACGAATTCGTGCACCGGTGGGGGCCCTCGGCCTGGCCTGTGGGGATTGGGCCAAAACTGGCAGTCCAACATCCCCCGAGTGGTCCCGGATTGCAAGAGGGCACAGGCCAGGCCAAGGGACCCCACCGGTGCACGAATCTGGGCACCGGGCCTTTAGTATGCATATAAGATCTTTGGTTAATCTCTTCTCACCTTCCTCCCTACCCACTCCCCTCTGAGATTCATCAGTCTGTTCCATGTTTCCATGCCAGTGCATTGAGCGTCTGCCCCTTGGTGGTCAGTGCACATCATAGCTACCAGTCAAATGGTCAAACGGTCAGACACTTAGCATATTAGCCTTTTATATATATAGATAACTATTTGGTTTTTTGTTGTATAGTCTACTCGTGTTTTTGATTAATGGAGAAATACCTGGAGTCACTTACTAGGTTTACTTATCTATCCACTGTCAGTATTCAAACCAACAATAATACCTTGTCATCTTTCCAGTTTCCTGTGTAGATAATCCCATCAGGAGTGGTATGAACACCTATTCCATTTCTCTCGACAATTCCAAAAGGTGTTCTTGTACAATCACCATCTAAACAAGAGAGAAATACTGAATATTATAAATGGGAACCCTGTTTGACTAGTTAATAAAGTATTTATAGCCCCAGCCAGCTTGGCTCAGTGGATAGAGCATCAGCCTGTGGACTGAAGGGTTCTGGGTTCGATTCCAGTCAAGGGCATGTACCTCGGTTGCAGGCTCCAGGGCAAGTGCAGGCAACCAACAATCGATGTTTCTCTCACATTGGTATTTCTGTCTTTCCCTCTCTCTTCTACTCTCTCTAAAAATCAGTGGAAAAATACCTTCTGGTGAGGATTAAAAAAAAATGTTCAAAAACAAACAGATAAATAATAATTTTTTGAAAGTATTTATATTTAGGCCTAATCACAACTGCACATATGGGTCTCTTTGGCTCCCTAGCACTGAAACAAATGAGACCAGAGATAAGGAGCTTACAAGGACTTATAGTCATTAAGACCCAATGACCAGGAAGACAGACAGATCCCATAGGTTACCAAGGCATACTGCCTAGACTTAATGTTAGAATTCAGATTTAAAATCTTTTCATCTACATTACTTTATTGAATTGAGTTAACATTCCAATAGTAGTTTTATAAAATGTGAGTCTCATTTTTTCACTCTTAAGCTATTTCATTTAAGTCTGTATAGAAAAAGTAATTGAAATGTATGCTTACCATACTTGTCTCCATTTGGAAATATAAAGTTTATCTTATATACTTCTTCAGCTGTTTTAAAAGATTTAGGAAAAGTCACATAAACTTAAATATTTTTTATGTCATAATACCTATAACAAATGCACTTTAAGAGCTAACCAAATAGATTCACTTCATATGATCACAAGCATGTCATGATTACTTGACATTCCATTATCCGGTGTAGGGTCCTGGGGAAATAATTTTGTCTAGATGATCTATTTTTACTTATTTGTTCGTTATAACAGCTTTATTAAAATATAATTTACAAAACACAAAACATACCCTTTTACACAATTTAATAGTTAGAATATTCAGAGTTGTGTAGCTATTACAATCTAACTTTAGAATATTTTAATCACCCCAAAAAGAATCATTTACCCATTCTCAGCTATTTTCCATTCCCTTAATTCCCCACTCCCACGCAACCCCACCCCCACCTCCACCTCCAACCCCTGGCAACCAATAATCTACTTTCTGTATGGATTTTCGTATTGTGGACATTTCATATATATATGAGATCATACAATATGTAGTCCTTAGCATAATGTTTTCAAGGTTCAACCATGATACAGCATGCATTAGGACTTCATCTCTTTTTATTGCTGAATAATAGTCCCTGTACAGAAAGAACAGATTCTGTTTATCATTCATCAGTTAATGGACAGCTGGGCTGTTTCCAGTTTGGGCAGCTATCAATAATGCTGCTATGGAGAGTCATGTAAGTTTTTATAGGGACATACGTTTTTATTGTTCTTGGTTAGCCTATATGACCTATTGACTGTCTCAGAGGTAAGGTAAAGTAAGGAATCTCTGACTTGGCAGAAGGAGGAAAAAGAAAATAAAGATAGTAAATGAGGAGGGGTGAGTGTGGGGGTGAGCAAAAAGGATAAGATTGGAATGGAGACCAGGTAAAAAAGGAAGGAAGAAACCAAGGGCTGGGGTGAACCTATGCCTCAGAGCACTGGGACATTTAGTGGTCTAAAACATTAAAAACTTAAGAAAGCATATGTGAAAATAAATAAACTCAAACTTCTAGGACAATAGAGTCTACTAGGATGTTACCCAAAATATGGACCATGCAAGTTCCTAGGCTCTACCCTATGTTACTGAATCAGAATCTCTATGGGTGAGGCAAGAGAACTGATATTTTTAATTTAAAAATTAATTTAGGTGCCAGTTGAGAAAAGCTAGAGGCTCATACCCTCTGAAGAAACAGAGTTAACACAATAGGTAGAAGAGTTTAAAATACTGTAACATCCTTGAGACAGGAGCTGGTGGTTATGAAAAACAACAAATTAGCAGTCCAGAAAATGAATAATTGATGAAATAAAACTCCTTCGAAGGGCTGAATAGCAAAGATACAACTGAAAAGTAAATTAGTGAACTGGAATACAAGGTTGAAAATTTTCCCCAGAAAGAGGAACAAAGAAAAACAGCAAAACCTTTCTTACCTCCCCTCATCCCCAGATTCCTCTAGGAGCCCCCACAACACTCTGGGCCTAGCCCGCCCATAGCACGTAGGGCCCTATTAAAGCAACGCTTTTGTGCCAGAATCCCCATCACTACAGCAGGTCGTTTAGGTCAGGGATCACGGATTAGTCACATTTCTGTTCTCGCCCTCGTGTCCAGCTCAGTGATTAGCACTTACTAGCAGGAACTGCAGTGAATGAATGGCACTTGGAAAGCAATCGTTAAATACAGAGCATTTAAATTGATCATACGAGAAACCGACCTGTTTTCAATTGCTCTTAAATGGTTCCACATTCGAAACCTTGGAATGTTAGAGCTAAGAGAAGGACCTAAGAGTCGGAGGTCGTCCGGCAGCGCAGAGGAAACTGAAACCCGGAGAGGTCGGCACAACAGCAAACCCACCGCCGAATCAGAGCTGGAACCCCTGTCTCCTGACTCTCAGGCCAGGTGCCCTCCGCGCCCCGCCCCCGCCCCCGCCCCCGGGTGGACGGTCAGGAAAGGTATCACACCGGTAGCGGGGTTACCAGGGGCTGAGCTCTGGACCAGGCGAGTTCTCATTTACGGCGCCCTTCCCCGCTCGGGGCGTCGGGACGGGGGCCACTCACTTGGCAGAGAGGTGCTGGAGGCATTTTCTGGACTCTGCGATTCCCGCTGAGTCGCCAGCTCCGTGGCGCAGAGGGAACCTAGCGCGGAGGGCGACTCGGTTGCCGGGGCGACCAAGCACCTCTCACCCGGAAGCGAAAGTGCGAGGGGCCGAGTCTGAGCCAATCAGAAGGCGCCAGGGCTGTGCTTCCG